GAGAGCTGCTTCGCGTGACTTGGCGCATGCTTCGCGCGCATCTGGGTATGTTTCGTGCGGCTTCGCGCACCAGACGCCGGCTTTGCGCACCTGCGTGCGCGCACCTTCGCGCGGCTTCACGCAGCTTCGTGCGCGGGCTGCTTCATGGCTTCGTGCGTGCACCTGCGCGCACTCTGCGTGCGCAAACCTGCGCGCGCGGCTTCGCGCGGGCTGCTTCGCATGGCTTCGCGCGTGCCCCTGCGCGCGCTCGGTTTCGCGATGAATTTATAGCGGCTTCGCGCGCTTCGCGTGGCTTCGCGCGGCTTCGCGCAGGCTGCTTCGCGAGGCTTCGTGCGTGTGCGCGCGCCCGGCTTCGCGCCGCTTCGCGCTTCGCACGGCTTCGCGCCGCGCTTCGCGCGGCTTCGCGCGTGCTTCGCGCGCCCGCGCTTCGCGCGCGCTTCGCGCGGCTTCGCGCGCTTCGCGCGCCTCGCACCGGCTTCGCGCGGCTTCGCGCGGCTTCGCGCGCCCGCGCTTCGCGTGGCTTCGCGCGTGCTTCGCGCGCCCGCGCTTCGCGCGCGCTTCGCGCGGCTTCGCGCGCTTCGCGCGCTTCGCGCGCCTCGCGCCGGCTTCGCGCGGCTTCGCGCGCCCGCGCTTCGCGCGCGCGCTTCGCGCGCCTTCGCGCGCTTCGCGCGGGCTAGTCCCGTCCCCAGGGCGGATCATTCTGGAATTTCTGGGTGGCGTTTGCTTTGGGTTCAAGACATGAGAAAGTGTTCTGTTTACTTGCAGGAGACAAGGCGACCAGCTACTCAGCAACAAAACTTTGACTTACAGACCACCTTGTGCCATCTGGCTTTAGGATGCTTCAGCCTCTGTTTTAGGATGCTTCAGCCTTTATAAAGATGCCCAAAGTTAATGTACGGCTTCTTCTGGATTGTTCGAGCTATTTAGCTGAGATTTCAATCTCCTTGTTCATGGGCCAATCTACTATACCGTTGTGCATGGGCATTGCTTAGGGCACCGGCTCCGGACTGTAGCTACAGTAAAGATAAGTGTGGACAGCATTAAACTCCTATGGAAAAGGATGGTTGATACCCTGAAGCCTGAGTCCCAGCTTAGCGTGCCCTAGACTCTTGTTAGTTAGCTTATTTAAACCCCGAACCTAATAACCTGGTCTGCGGATGTCTACGGTTTAGGGCCTACAAGGATTATGGTCAGAGAATTGTCGATGATGTTTTCAAGCTTCGGGCTTGTGGCCCAGGATTCTTCATGTCCACGCCCGTCGATGCATGTTCTGCAGACGCACTGCATATCTTTCCAAATGCACCCACGGATGGTTCCAACACATTCACAGTGGGGCTTGTCGTATGGCCGACCGTGATTGGAAACGCAGGCAGACGCACTGCACATCTTTCCAAATGCACCCACGGATGGTTCCAACACATTCACAGTGGGGCTCGTCGTATGGCCGACCGTGATTGGAAACGCAGATGCTCATTTGGCTGATTGTACTTGGCAACGCAGAAGAAGGCGATGACGGACTGCTGTCGGTAAAGCAGGTTGTCCCGCGCATTCCGGATGGTGCGCTTGCCAGAAGCACGATAGCATCCACAGTAAGTGCCAAGCGCATCCAGACGGATGCTGGCTCCATTTCATTCACAACATGAAATTCGGAAAGGTCACGAACCTTACGCCCCAGACCTTCTTACACATTCAGGTCCGATAAGACAAACTACCCGAGCCTGCAACCCTAAGCCCCTCATCCCTGGACTCCTAAACCGGCTTAGGGCCCACTGTCGGTAAGGTCGCGACCCGAAGCGTAACAACAATAATGGTGTTAAGCAGATGTTCGCTGACTTTCCGGGGTTTAACTGCTTGGGCTGCCAAGCACTGACAACTTACCCATACAGACAATCAGTGGCGGCTTAGGTCGGGAACGGCCATGGCTTTTCAGGAATTGAAAATGCCAGGCTTTAAGAAGGAACCCTAAACCCTCGACAACTCCTGAACAAAACCCCCCTCCCTTTTCTCCTTAATCACCGACCCTGAGCCAGCGCCTTAACCCTGGGGCCCCCCAATTCCCTTCTAACTTTCTCAGGGCCGCCGACACCCTGACTATTCCAGCACGGAACTCTTGGTCGGGGGGGGCTTATTCAAACCGCCACATTAGGGTTCGTAGCAAATGGGTTTAGAGCGGGTTCAGGGTCTAGGGAGAGTTTAGCTGTTTGGGGCTTTACGGGCTAAAGGCCCCAAAACCTTGGGCCTCGACGGTCAAACCACAATATACCATCGCAGCCCTTATACGGTTGATGATATAAATCCTGCATGACCCATAATAAGGAATGTACCATAATTCCCATAGTCTAGGGTCATTAAGGTAATGCAGGATCTATATCATCAACCGTATGTCACTATATGCTTAAGATAAACTATAACCCCAAGCCCGATTTCAATTGGTGGCACCTGCCTGCTGCCGGCCTGGGGACCTGGGCACCTGGTGGTTCCGGAAGCTGCAGCTCCAACTCAACCGGTTCAACCGAGGATGCCGGGGGAGGTGTTGTAAGGCTTTAAGAAGGGATCCATATTGCTTCACTTCTGCAAGGGGTTGGACGGAGTTTAGGAGCAAGGGACCTGATATATGTAGGGTTACAAGCCCTCCAATCAGGTTGGTGTACATTTGGGCTTACGTACCTGCTACTAGAGTCCCTGACCCTTCAAGGTATCAAGGCTTATAACACTCACCACTGCTGCTATGCTCATCCATCGCATTACCACTGACCTTGTTGTTGCCATTGCCCAACACTTTGTTGGTTGACTATCCTATTTTCTGCCACGATCAACTGCTTGAGGGTCTAGGGCTTAAGGATTTAGGCTTGCTACGGATTTTAGGGTCTAGTTTTTTATTTCCAGGTTTCTGTTGTTGAGGAGTGGCGCCGGAAAGTTACACACACACACACACATATATATATATATATTATATATATATATATATATTATATATATATATATTTATATTTATGTGTATATATATATATGTGTGTGTGTGTGTAAACAAGTGTTATAATGGAAAATCTGTATATTTCAAGCAGACTGACCAATAATAATAATGGCGTGATAGTAGGGACTCGGGACCCTGCCACTCAAGTTTTAGGGGCATCATTTGCAATGTTTCCTCCACCGCCCCCCGTCTAACTTGGGGCCTACCTAGAGGGCCCATAACAGTTCCTTTTTGGGATGCATTTTTGGAATCCTTTCAGGTAATCATTAGGTAATCCCAAAAAGGAACTACTATGGAGCCTATGGGTAACGACAGGTTTGGGTTTAAGTTTGGGTTTCGGGGTTCATGCAGTTACGAGTATGTAGAAAAGCACGTGAAAGACTTCCCTGCATGCCGCTCATTCACAGAGGTTTTCTCTAGGAGCATCTGGTGCGTGCATGCCCAAACCCAAAACATCCCAAATCCCTAAGCCTGGAACTCCCAAAACCCAAAACCCTAAACCCTAAATAAACCCTACAAGCCCTGAGCCCTAAACTCTACGCCCTAACCCTCAACTCTATGAGCCCTAAGTCCTTTGAGCGCTATGCCCTAACCGCTATAAGCCGTAAACCCTAAACTCCTCAATCTCAACCACCTCGGGTGGGACGGAGTCTCGCAATTCAGCAAAGCCGGCCCGAAAGCGCGGAGCATTTCAGTAAAACCCCTTGACCACAATACATTCACAGCCTAAGGGTGTCAGGGTAGGGTTTGGGGTTTAGGGCTGCGCTATTTTCATTCATTGCAAGAAACGGTTTCTCTGCATGAGTGCCCCAAACCGTAAAACTTACAACAGCCTAATCAGCCAATTCAATAGTACCAGAATTCACTCTTTTCAGGATGAAGCCCAAAGCTGAACACCTGTATGACACCGTATGACTCCCGTTATTGAATCCAAAACCACCACCCCTACCTACAAACCTAAGCTCCAAGCCCATAGCACCTTGCAGTCGCAGAATCCTTTGTTGTATCACCTGCTTGTGTTTTCGCATGCCGATGCCAAAGATTCATGTGTGTATGGGCTTCGGGTTTTGGAGCAGGTCATCCAATTCGGCTTCGGGTTTTGGGGCGGGTCAAACGGTTTGTCACGTCGCTTTATGTCTAGTTTATTTCAATCATGCTGCATTGAATCACTGAAGCTGAAGCATTCAACCCCCCGGGGTGGCAAAGGCACCTCGAAGAGAAGATCAGCTTCCCGCCAGGTCGGCCCACCAAGACAGCCTGCCATGCACATGCATCGATATATAGCTCAACAACCGTCCTGCACAACCCAGGCTTCCGACTCATGGGACTGGGCTTCTGATCGAGAGATCGAGCATCTGTAAAGGCAGTACGCACATGTACATGGCGGAGCAGTAAGCTACATTCCTGTCATATCACAAGTTGTGGAACGTCTTCGGATGTTGGGCAATGTAATACATGCAACTAACGAGCTTAGTTGCACCTGCTGAGCTTACGGTTGAATGTACATGTTGGCTCATTCTTGCAGCGGCAAAAAGACTGTGAGGGGGTTTCAGGGCTCACGGTCTAGGGTGATGCCCCAGGCCATCAACTGGCAATGTCGTGGGCCAGCACGTGAAAACAATGACTGAACAGGAGCCTGCCTTGCTGGAATCTCCAGACCCAAAATGGAGGCAACGCTGTCCGCCGCCACCTGGCATGTGACAGCATCACATCTTCATTGAAGTATGCTGAGCTCAGCCAACAGTGCACGCAAAGCCGCTCAGGCCTTTTTTGCACTGCTGTGATGGTGCAAGCTCTGATTCGGCAGGAGCACAGGGGGCAGGCAAGTCGTTCTGTTCACCTACCCGCCAAAACTCAACTGTGCCTCCTTGCAAAATACAATCCTGGAGCCAGCCGCCCTCGTGACCTGGGGACCTGGGGACCTAGGGGCCTGAATCGCCTAAACTGTTAACTTTAACTGCGAACCCCTCAGGCACAGGACACCCAGGCTGGCCCGGGCAGCACTTCGGAAGATGGCCTTTAAAGCCTAGTTCCAGGGAGCCGGATCGGATGCAGCAGCATCACCAGAACTTGTGCCAGCTGAATTCAGCTGCGACTTGCTGGACCTCATGGCCTGGTCTACGCCACTGCACCACTTGGCACAGCGACTCATGTGCAGCTCGAACGGACGGCCTTTGGAGTCGGCTTCGCGAGAAAACTTCACGACGATCGGGATCTTTTTGAAGGTGATGGCCCGGTCCTTATGTGAAGCACAGTTGCTCACACAATAACCCATGACTCGCACGCATACAGCTCTCTAACTGTCCAACCTAGGAACGAAGGCGAAGCCGTCAAGCGTGAAGTTCCAATCGTACGATGATTCCCCAGTCCACCCGCAGCTCACCTCCATCTTGCGGCTGAAGCGGAAGTCTCCATCACTCTCGTACAAGTCCCCCTTCAAGACTTCAGCCTGGGGGCGGGTCAGGATCCCTCAGCGCGAACATGCCGTGTGCAAGTCACTACTACTTGACTACTTAGATGGAAGCTTTGGCAGGCCTCGATTGTGTACATGGGGGTCGTAAAGACCTTGGCACAGACCTTCATCTGCTTTCTCGCGAGGCAGTAGAAGTAGCCGTCGGCCGTGATCCACAGTGACCTGAATCCTGAGTCCTCCTGGGGCAAGGAGCTCCACCACTGCCCGTAGCCGCCATCACACGAAGTCACGATCTTCAGCTGGTCCATTCGCCTCAGTGATTCAAGGCGCAGCACTTCAACCAAGTTCAGTAGTTTCTGCACAATTCCAAAAGTGCGACAAGTTGCAGGATTGAAGGGCTCATCACGTGGAGGCGGATGCTGCAGTTGGCCAGCGTCTCCATGTACTCCTTCGTGAACCTCTGCCGGAAGAAGCCACCCTCGACCAGTGCAATGTTCCTGACAGAAGTATCAGGCTCAGGACTTGCAGGACTCAATCAGTCAAGAAAGCATGACACTGGCTGAAAGCTGTCCTGGATTCAACACTTTGCCACTCCCCGGCCATGTTGCCTGGCAGCTGCCTTTGTCCCATCTTCTTCAAACCCGTCTTCAGCATGAACATCTCAGCGAAGGCTGCCACATCGGAGGCGTAGTAGGAGACGTGCAGCAAGTGCCCATCTTGCTGGACCGGGAGCATCCAGCCCTGCCACTCTGGGCTGTTGTCCTGAGAACCAGAAGCAAAAGATGCAACCGACATGATGCGAAACTGGATTCCATGCGCAAAGGACTTGCAACCAAGTGTCCGCAAACGATTTCAACTGACAGCCCCTTGCCACCCCATTCACAATATACGGGTTAAGCAAGATATGCGCATACCCTCGCTCGTGTGTGAACTGCTCCAACAACTCCCGGACGCAGCAGCTCATCTCGGATGTGCAAAGTCAGAGTTGACACATCTCAACATGCACAATAAGGTCATGTCTGCATTGCTGCTTCGGCACAACCTGAAACTTTTGTGGGACACTCTGCCGTGCAGGGAGCTGCGACAGCAATGTCGAGAGGCGGTCGAACTGCACCTGATCCTCGAAAGGAAATCCTGGGATGTTGGACACGACAGTGTGCCTGGCTGTGCTTGCCAGTCTAAATCAGGAATAGTTTGAGAACACATGTGCGAGCAAGGCACTCACACTGAGGGTGTTCATTGCCTCCTGGGTCCGCACACCTTCAGGAAAGAAGCTGCTCTTCAGGCAGTTGAACGATGCCATCCCCCGGTAAAACACGTTGAGGTGTCATAGGTGGACTTCAGGATCTCCGGCGCCGTGGAGAGGGCCCTGCCAGCAATCTGTCATGGACACCCACCAACTCTACCACTCTCAGCAACCCTGACTGAAATGCTTCCCTGAACCGTTATCTTTAAGATGCCAGGCTGCACAAGCGGAAACATCGTGGATGATACGACTTCTGCGATCACTGCATCGGAAGCAGCGGCCGTGGATGAAGCATCGGCCGTGGGAGCAGCGGCCGGGGAAGCAACGGACGGAAGGCACGGCATCATGCGGGGGCACCGTCTGCATCCTGCCCATGGATCTCAGACCAAGCAGACCACCGGTTACCTGTAGGGACCTAGGAACCTAGGTTCCTGGGGTCCTCTGTGGGAGCCAAAAGGCAATGTCACTCATCTCGTTCACAAAGCAAGCACATCAGACTGCTCTCAGACCAGACTGGTGCATCAATGTGCAGACCCCCAACAATTCAAGCCAGGCGGGCCTTTTGATCTGCTTCTTCTGAATCTTCAGCGGGGGGTCCTGACCTTTGCCTGTGACCCTAAACAGCAACGGCACCAGAAAATTAAAATCCCCGAAAGCTCAACCCAGGCTGTTGGCGAAAAACTCCGTGATCATGCCGTGGTTCAAGAAAACAATCATGCCCATGAAGCTGTTGTAGAAAAACTCCCTGATCGTGCCGTGGTTCAAGAAAACAATCGTGCCCATGATGCTGCTAAAGAAAAACTCCTTGATCGTGCCGTGGTTCCCGACCATGCTCTTCAACACGTCCTCCAAGGCAAAGGGATCGACTCTCTGTGTTCGACCAAGCAAGCTTCGGCACACTCTGTGGTGGAACAAGCTCCAACAGAACCATCGAAACTTGCGTGGCACTCGCCGCGCTCTTCGCCTTGGCCTTCGGTGCTCCCTTGTCGCGCTCTTCTTTGGCTTAGGGCAATCTCTGGCGAAATGTCCCTTCTCTCCGCAATTGAAGCACTTCCCCTTGGTAGGCGAGGCGGACTGCGTCCCTTTTCACCTTTCTTTCCCTTTCCTTTGCCCTTGTCTTTGTCAGGGCTTTGCGTCTTTCCCTTTGTCCTTTCCCGCTTCCATTCGGGACTGAATCCCAAACTCCTGGTTCAGCCTTTAAAGGCCTCGTACCCGCAGGCAGCACCAAGTTGCTGCTGCTCAGCTTGGCGAACAACGTCAAGTCCCCTTTGGAACGTCCCCAACTGCTTCAATAAGTTGTGAAAACGCGCGCTCCTTGCAGCTGGCCCTTTCTCCAAAGAGTTCTGATTCACCACTTCGTGGGTGATGCTGCCCGGTAAAGCTCGACAGGGTAGAAGTCGTCAAGCAACGCAAGCCAAGAACTGATCCCCTCAACAAACTTAGTCCAGTAGTTGATTTCCGAACGAACGGGAAACCATTTTCTCAAAGTTCAACATGGCAATCTTTGGCAAGTACAGGGGAGGCCCACTCAAGCGAGGCCAGAATTGCTGGACTTTCTCAGCCCTACATTTGGAGTCGCGCATGCAACATTGATTCCAACCGAGTCGACCTCTCTTGGTATGAACTTGCCCGTCCTGAAATTTGGTGGTGGCTGCTTCTTGATGAACTCGCGGAACTTAAGAACTCGCTTTCCCGGGCTCTCGAAGGACGGAAGTTCCCCGTCCGGGATGGCAGCCTGGTGCAGATGTTCTTAGCTCCCAAGTGTGACCCCACTGCCAAACCAGATCCACTGCCAGCAAACAGCCGACAGAGCGCTGGTTCTGGCCAACGGCGCAACGTCGGGGAGTGCTGAGGTGACACAGAGCACACCATTACTCATTGCGGCGTGCTGCTACCCGTGCAGCTGCTGTTCTTCACGTATTCTGGCTCCTATCGCGGCACCTTCGACTGGCTCTTCCCCCCATGCGGACATTCCGCAAGGGTTACAAGCGCAGCCATCGCTTGCGATTCAAGCTGTGTAAGATCGTCAGCGTCTGTAGTCGCTTGTAAAAGCACTTTCGCTTGTGAGTGTTTTGCTTCGGGAACGGTTTCAAGGTTTGGTTGGGAATCTTGATGATCCCAAGGTTTGATGTGAAACCGAGTACATTTGAGAATCTTCGATCTCAAAGTGTACCTTAGTTGCTGTTGAGGACTCCTTGATGGATCCTCAGTGGTATGTTTATATCCCACAAGATTTACTTCGTAAGTCTCTGTGTGGTTAGAGCCCAATACGCTATAATTCGTTTTTTTGAATTCGTTTCCACACTTACGCGTGAAGTCTGACGCACTCCGTGAACTTTGGCTCAAGTGAGTGAAAAAGACTTGCAGCTGTCCGCTGTGCCCGTAGGGACGTGTTTTCCGAGGTGCAAAGCTTCTCGAACCGTCATTTGTGGTGTTTCGAAACAGAAACGAAGCCCCCGCCGTGGGGTTCCGAGGCCCCACTCGTGGCGTTCGTGGCCCTGATGTTGGTTTGGGGTGGGTTTGGGTGGGTTTGACCATGTTTAGAAGGCGTGGGTGGGTTTGGGCTGGGTTCGGGTGGGTTTGACCATGTTTAGAAGGGTTGGGTGGGTTTGAGAGGGTTTGGGTGGGTTTGCTGAGTTTGGGTGGCGTCTCGAGAACTTGTTTGGCCGGTTTGTCTCTTAGCTTGGCCGCCTGGCTGTATCTTCATCTAGCAGTTGCCTTCCAGCGACCTGGACAGGATGCCCTCAACATCTTGCGGCCGCGCGTGGCACCAAATGCCGCCTCCGGCAAGACATACCAAGGTGCTGTGCGATTTGGTCATGTTTACGTCGTCGCCGACAAACTTGGGACCTTGTTCCTGGGCAGCCAGCAGATGCTGCAGATGCTTAGATGCGTAGTTGAAGGGAACTTCGAGCAAGCTGCGGCTTAAAATTCTAAAGGGGGAGAAAGCAGGGTCAGTTGCGGCCCGAGGCCTGGTGAGGACTCCTCAATTAGTATTATAAAGCCCCAAGTCCCTGAGGCCTCGTAATCTTGCAAGCTAAAGGGGTTTTGAGGTTCTGGAAGGCCTCGGATGGGCCTCGAACGGCTTCAAACCCTGGGAAATGAGGCCTCGGGCGGCCTCGAACGGCTTCAAACCCTGGGAAATGAAGCCTCGGACCATGCAGAGGCTTCAAGGGTTGGCGGTAATGTAGTGTGGCAAGGCTCGAGAGTTGACACTTGTTTTTGCAAGATTACGAGGCCTCGGGGACTCGAATCTTTCTCATACTATTAAAGGGGTCACCAGAAGCCTCGGACCGCTGCCTTTCTTCTTTTTTTCCTACAGAGAACTTAAGGCCGCAGCTGGCTCCAAATCCCTTAGGTGGATCTGGAAAAAGGCTTCAAGAAGCTTTGATGATCTTGCAAGCTATTGGCTATTGCTGACTCCATAAATCTTGGCAATCGTAGACAGAAGCCTCGATGATCTTGTTGCAGCGATGCCTTCTAATAAAACTCAAAGATCTCGATTGGCTTAGAAAAGCTTCGAGAACCTTCGATGACATTGCAAACTGACGCTGATCTCTAGCGGATATATAATAGCAGGATGAAGCACAAGAAATGATGCTGCCGGACGACCCCATTTCTGGGCCCACGAAACGAAAGCAAATCTGGCTTCGCCACCATGGGCCTCCGCAGTGCAATTCCGCTGGTTGTGGCATTAAGGTGAGCGTGCAGCTGCCTTGGACAAGCCTTCTGGCTTTTTCAATCTTGTGTCTGCGTGATGCCCAAAACTGCTGGAACAAAGGCAGGCGCACGCCCGAGATCCAGCTGGTTGGCCCCGAACCTTTGCGACCCCAAAAATGGGGCCGTTTCGCGGCCCCAGAAACAAGGCTGCGAAATGCACCCGGCCTCCCTAAATATATAGTCTGAGCATGAGTTGGAGGCCTGGAAGCCCGACCCCAAAAATGGGGCCGCCAAACGGCCCCATTTTTGGGGTCGCGAATTCTTCTACTTTGAGGCACGCCCGCCTGATTGCTACGCGACGAGGCGACTGGCACACAGGCAAGCGTCCATGCAGCTTGGAAAAGACAATCTTGCAGGATTAAGACTCCCATAGCCTGCTTTCTTATGGAAGCAATCAGCATTGAATTAACATGAAAGAAACAGGCACAGGGCACAGGGGAGGCCCACTCAAGCGAGGCCAGAATTGCTGGACTTTCTCAGCCCTACATTTGGAGTCGCGCAGCTTGCCGTTTTCACTAACAGTGCAAAGCCTCTCGAACCGTCATTTGTGGTGTTTCGAGACAGAAACGAAGCCTTCCAAAGCCTCCCGCCGTGGGGTTCCGAGGCCCCACTCGTGGCGTTCGTGGCCCTGATGTGGCCTGTGGGTTTTGGGGGTTGGTTTAGGGTGGGTTTGGGTGGGTTTGACCATGTTTAGAAGGCGTGGGTGGGTTTGGGCTGGGTTCGGGTGGGTTTGACCATGTTTAGAAGGGTTGGGTGGGTTTGAGAGGGTTTGGGTGGGTTTGCTGAGTTTGGGTGGCGTCTCGAGAACTTGTTTGGCCGGTTTGTCTCT